TAAGCTGTGTGTGGTGGCTCATGCCTGTAATCCCAGCACTTTGGGAGGCCACCATCCCACCCAGCTAATTTTTCTGTATTATTTGTAAGCATGGGGTTTCACTACGTTGGCCAGGCTGGTCTCACAACTCCTGATCTCAGGCAATCCACCCGCCTCAGCCTCCCAATTCCTGTGTTGAAGCCCTAATCCAGGATAGACGATGGTATTTGGAGATGGGGCCTTTGGGAGTTCGTCAGGGTTAGATGAGACCATGACAGTGGGGCCCTAATGTTGAGATTAGGGCCCTGGTAAGAAGCAGAGACCCCAGAGCTCTCTCTCCCCAACAGGAGGACACAGTGAGAAGGCAGCCATCTGCAAGCCAGGAAGAGAGCCCTCACCAGACCCTCACCACACTGGGATGCTAACCTTGGACTTCCAGCCCCAAGACTGTGACAGATACATTTCTTAATACATATCCTGTCCATCCCCCAAGTCTATGACACTTTATCCTAGCAGCCTTATGTGACAAGCACAAGGTCTATCATCTCAGGAACTTCCTTCCTAAGTGGTATCTGGAAACCGTGCATCAGAGCCATGGGAGAGAATGAAGAAAGGCTCAGTCAGCCCTTTGCAGCAGTCAGCACACCTCAACCTCAAGTGCAGCCTATCACACGTGAACCAGGAGTGCTGTGGGACACAGTGAAAGGGAACCTGCAAACACCCGTGACGTCATCACATCCATGCTCAGGGAAGCCAGGCAGCTTGCCCACAGCAGGTGTTAGGGGTGTGCTGAGGCTCTCAGTGAGCTTGGCCTCCCTACTCACGCACCCAGGTCACATAGAAAATATAATAGAAACCACATAGGAAAATATGATAGAAAACAACATACCCACCATGTAGATGTGGCCATGTTAGCATTCTACCGCTTGCTCATTTTTTAAATAAAAGCTTTATTAAGACATTCACATAGCATGCTTTCACTCACTGAAATTGTACAATTTGTGTTTTACATAGAATTTGCAACCATCACCACATTAAATTTATTTATGGAATTCGCAGCCATCACTGCATTAAGTCTACTTACAGAATTTGCAAGCATCACCTTGGTAAACTTTAGAACATTTTTATCGCCTCAAAAAGAAACCCTTGGTTGGGCATAGTGGTTCACTTCTGTAATCCTAGCACTTTGGGAGGCTGAGGCAGGTCAGTCACCTGAGGTCAGGAGTTCATGACCAGCCTGGCCAACATGGTGAAACCCCGTCTCTACTAAAATACAGAAAATTAGCTGGGTATGGTGGCAGGTGCCTGTAATCCCAGCTACTCGAGAGGCTGAGGCAGGAGAATCGCTTCAACCTGGGAGACAAAGGTTGCAGTGAGCTGAGTTCTCACCACTGCACTCCAGCCTGGGCAACAAGAGCAAAGCTTGGTCTCAAAAAACAAACAAACAAACAAACAAACAAACCAAAACCTTGGTTGGGCTCGGTGGCTCCTGTCTGTAATCCCAACAATTTGGAGGCCAAGCTGGGTGGATCACTTGAGCTGAACTCAAGACCAGCCTGGCCAACATGGCAAAACCCCTTCTCGACTAAAAATACAAAAACCAGCTGGGTGTGATGGCACACATGTGATCCCAGCTACAGGAGAGGCTGAGGCAGGAGAATTGCTTGAACCCCAGAGGCAGAGGTTGCAGTGAGCCAAGATTGTGCCACTGAAGTCCAGCCTAGCACCTGGCGGCAGAGTGAGACTCTGTCTCAAAAAAACAAACAAACAAAAAAAACTAAACTTAGTCGTTTAGCTGTCTCCTCATCTACACCCTAGGCCTACGTAACCATGAATGTACTTCTAATAGCTCTTACATACTCTGGACTTTCATATAAATGGAATCATACAATATATGTCTTTCACAACCTGTCTTATTTTACTTCGAATATTTCAAAGGTTCATCCAGGTTTTTAGTGCCTATCATTACATCAAATCTTTCTGTTGCTGAATAATATTCCATTGGTGGATATCCTGAAACTTATTTATATATCAGGTGATGAATATTTGGGTTGTCTTCACTTTTTGGCTATTGTGAATAACACTTCTAAGATATTTGTATACAATGTTTTGTGGGGATGTATGTTTTCATTTCTCATAGCTATATACCTAAGAGTGAAATTGATGGGCCGTATGGAAACTCTATGTTTAATAACTGCAGAAGGTACCAGACTATTTCCAGAGTAAATAAATACCATTTTATATACCCACTAGCTGTGTGAGGGTCTCAGTTTTTCTCCATATTCCAGCCGTTTATCATCTCTCTTTTTGACACAGTCATCCCAGTGATTCTGAAGTCCCGTCTCATCATAGTTTTCATTTGTGCTTCCCTGGCGTTGAACCTCTTTCACATACTTATTGGTCATTTGTATATCTTCTGTGAAGCAATGTGCGCTCGACATTTACTCATTTTTAACTGGTGTGTGTTGTCACTGAGTTATAAGAACTCTCTATGTATTCCTGATAAAAATCCTTTTGGGAGGCCAGGTGAGGTGGCTTATCCCCAGTAATCCCAGCACTTTGGGAGGCCAATATGGGTGGATCACCTGAGGTCAGGAGTTCAAAACCAGTCTGGCCAATATGGTGAAACTCCACCTCTACTAAAAGTAAAAAAATTAGCTGGGCATGGTGGTGCATGCCTGTAATCCCAGCTACTTAGGAGGCTGAGGCAGGAGAATGGCTTGAATCCAGAATGGGGAGGTTACAGTGAGCCGAGATTGCACCATTGCACTCCAGCCTGGGCATGGCAAGATTGTCTCAAAGAAAAAAAAAACTTTTTTTGATTGTATTGATTTTCTCTTTTCAGTTTTATTGATTTATTCTTCTATTATTTCCTGTCTTCTGCATACTCTGATTTTATTTTGCTCTTTTTCTGGTGTCTTTATGTGAAAACTTAAATGATAGGAGACTTTTTTTTTCTTTTTTTTTTTTGAGACGGAGTCTCGCTCTTGTTACCCAGGCTGGAGTGCAATGGCGCGATCTCGGCTCACCGCAACCTCCGCCTCCTGGGTTCAGGCAATTCTCCTGCCTCAGCCTCCTGAGTAGCTGGGATTACAGGCACGCGCCACCATGCCCAGCTAATTTTTTGTATTTTTAGTAGAGATGGGGTTTCACCATGTTGACCAGGATGGTCTCAATCTCTTGACCTCGTGATCCACCCGCCTGAGCCTCCCAAAGTGCTGGGATTACAGGCTTGAGCCACCGCGCCCGGCTGAGACTTTTTTTTTCTAATATATGCATCTAGTGCTGATTATTTGCCTCTTAGCAATATTTTATCTGTGTCTCACCACATTTTACATGTTTTATTTTTATTTAGGTCTGTATTATTTTTAATTTTTCCCGAGGTTTTTCTTTTTAACTCATAAGCTATTTAGACGATGCACTTCAATTTCCATATGTTTGAGGGATTTTTTTTTTTCCTTCTTTTTATATAATGAAAGCTTACACTCTGAACACATTAGGTTAAAATTCAATTACACTTGTTTGGTTACATTATATGCTTAAGTATCATTGGAGCAGACTTTTCAGATATTAACTTTATGTAGTGGTTGTCAGTTGTTTGCACTTGTAGAGTGACAGAGTCCACGGAGAGCAGGATCTGACACTGCCCACATGGAGCAGAAGGGATGGGGCAGAGGGGCATCTGTCCAGCTGACTGGTGTGTTCTGTGGGTGGATGGGGCTGGAGAGGACTCAAACATGGCTCCCTTTGTCACTCGGCAGAGGGGCCAGACCACCGTGTAACGGACAGCTGTGCCCCACCAGCCTCTGCTGCTGGGCCAGCTCCCAGCACCATGACCACAGCTCTGCATACAGGGAGTGCTGGGACCAGTGCCCTGGCAGTCACCCTGGTCCTGAGCCAACAAGGGCCCTCGGGAGGAATCAGAACTCAGACAGTGAAGAAGGTGTTGGCCAGGAGGGAACCGGGGCGGGTGCCGGGTCCTGTCTATGCAGGGATCTGAGATTCTGAGAGGTGGGTTAGGGGTAAGGGGGTAGAGGTCGGCCAAATTGGGGTGAGGGGAGTTCAGTAGAGATGGGGAGGACAGGACAGTGTGGGAAAGAGCAGAGGGTCCTCCCCAGCCTCAGTCCCTCTCCTGGTGCAGTCCTCATCTCACTCTTAGACTCCGGAAGTCTCCCTTCAGCCAACACCAGGCCCCCGACTCCCAGGGCACTTCCCAGACAGCCAGTGCCACATCCAGGCAGCCCCTGTTCTGCCCTTGGGGTCTGTGCCTGGCAGAAGGGTGGCAGACCCTTGACACGTCTCGGCTTGGGTCCCAGCTGTCCCCGGCCCTGGGACCAGCAGACACACCCACCCTGCGCCTGGCAGGCCGGCCATGCTTGTACCCATTGGTGATGGTGGATTGGGAGGGAACTGTTTCAGATACCAGTGTAAATCTGTGTCTGCATCAACTCCACACAAGAGTTCAGTCATCATATGGGAAGGGAATCATAGCTGTGGGGGGCTCCATGCAGGACCCCCAGGGCCCCTGAGGCCAGCCCCCGTGGCCACAGCAAGGAGCATCTGCTTCCGCCAGTTGGACAAGACTCTTTCCTGCCAGCCGCAGGAAACCGCAGAGGGACTTCCCCTGCTCCCCACCCACTGTTATATCCCAAACACACTCGTGTGGATGGACGCCTCGACATCTCTCCTCAGCCCAGGGCCTGAGCTCTTCCTGATGAGCGTTAAGTGGGAGCGGCTGCCTCTCCTTGTGTCCATGTTGCAGGCATCTGCCTTCTCCTCAGCTCCCACTCGGAAGAACAAGAGCCAGCCAGCTCTCTCCATCCCAGGATTTTCCAGGGATGCTGGTAACTAATGCAGGCAGGGCCTTGTGAGTGGGTGGTGGGAGGGATCAGGGCTTCCTGTGCATCTGTCAGTTCCTGGAACATCTGAAGGGGCAGCCTACACCTGGAGGAATGAGTGGGGCTGGCCCCCGTGGGTCCCCAGTGCCTGGCATCTCCCAGTCCCTCTGCTTTCCCTCACAGACCCCCTCCACTGAGCAGCACAGCCCTGAGGACAGAGGCCCCAAAAGCATTTTCAACACAACAATATTTATTCATATTTACACCTTGAGACCCCCAAGGCATTGCTCCTCATCCCTAACCCCTACCCCTAGGCCCTACCTTCCCGTTCAGCCACCCTCTTTCTCCCCTTCTTCCCGCACCCTCTTTCTCCCCTCCCTCTCCCACCCTCCAAAGCTGGGGTACAGCAAGATCAGCAGTGGGGGAGAAGTCTTTGCTTTGGGTTGCCTGGTGCTGTGAGGGTCCAAGAGTTGAGAGCTCCACCCTTGGGCACTGGCACCAGAGATCCTGCCCTGTGGCCCCTACTTTCTATGATGCCGCTTTTTCTTCCTCTTAGAGACCAAGGGGTCACCCTTTCTTTTTTGAGACTGTGAGGGGCCACCCAGCCCCCAAGCCAGGGATTGCGCCCCACAGACTCTGAGCCCAGGCCCTAGGTGGGGCGTCTGTTCAGCAGGGGATGGGCCTCCGAAGAGAGCTCGCTTCCTGGACTTGGTGGCAGGAGCAGGTGCTGGGCTGAGGCCTCTTCTCTTTGCAGATTGGGACTGAAGAGCTCCCTGGGGTCCCCACCCTTCTGGGCTGAGAAGGGCTGAGGCAGGGACAGGGCTCTGGGACAGCTTCCAGGGCCGCAGCCTGTAGTTGGTACCCACGACAGAAACCATACCAGGGATTTCCCTCTCCTCCTCACTTGACCCCTTAGACAGCCTGTGTGACTCCTTGACAGGAGAGGCTCCAGGGAGACCCCAGGTGTCTTTGGTCCCCATGCCTGGGCAGTTGGGTCTGTGGTCCTGGTGAAGAGAGTATGGCCGGGCAGCCCTCAGCCAGCGGGAATCCAGCCTCTCCAAAAGCACAACAGGGGTTTTGGACCTGGCCACCCCAGTGCACACTCTGCCTCTTCCCTGAGGGTCCCGGGAGGCCGTCTGGGGGGTGGGTCTGTGGTCCTGGGGAGGAGAATATGGCCGGGCAGCCCTCAGCCTGCGGGAATCCAGCCTCTCCAAAAGCACAACAGGGTTTTTGGACCTGGCCATGCCAGTGCATGCTCTGCCTCGTCCCTGAGGGTCCTGGGCAACCGTCTGGGGTGGGCAGGTTTCCATGCTGACCCCTTGTTGGGGGCCAGGGACATCTCTCTCTGTTCCTTGGCCCGCTGCAGACTTAGAAGAGATTGAGTCCAACCGGGCGGTGCCATGACTAGGGGCTGCCCTCGCACACCGTTCCTCCAAGGATAGGCGGCGCTTCTCCACTACCTGCGGGAGGAAAGGGGGCACTTACTGGCGCTGCCCCAAGTGTGAGCAGGGCCCAGGGTGGCAGAGACCAGGGCACTTGGGCAGCAGGCAGGGAAGCCTGAGGCAGCTGGGCTTCCTGTCAAAGAGAGGGTGTGGCTCTGCCGGGCATCCCGCTGGGCCTCACTGCAGTTTGCATCCTGATTCTCCTCCCTGGCTCCTCTCCATCCTGCTCCATCTGAACCTGCACCTCCCCACCTCGGAGTGGCTCCCCAAGAAGCTGAGCATCCCCCACAGGGTGGGGTAGACAATCAGTTGGGGCTTGTGTGCCGGGTTCCTCCTGCCCCCGGGGTACCTGGGTTCCCTACCCTCCCTGCTCTACCTGGGCAAGGGTGAGTCCTTCCTCCTGATCCAGTTCCTGGCTTAGGGCCAAGAAATCCATGTGTGGATCTGGGGAAAGCAATTCTTCCAGAAATCGGGGGTGGATGACGGCCTCCACCTGGAAACAGAAGGAAGACAGCGTGAGGTTCCCAGGCAGAGAGTAACCTGGAGCCAAGGACACCTAGAGGAGATGCAGAAAGCAGCAAGTGCTCCGTCCCCACCCTTCTGGAGCTGTCTTATACCATGGCGACCACCAGCTCCACACACAAACCTGGTAGCATCCATACATGCAGACAGAGACACACAAACCACACACACTCACATATGACACAGGAGAATACACAGACACAGTAATATGCACACGCCACACTCAGCCACACAGACACATAGTAACAAATCACAGAGACAAACACACAGACACACAGTCACATACACAGACACTCAAATCCACGGAAACACATGAAACCACCCCCTTTGGAGTAGCTAAGGAACAGAGCTTAATTCCAGGGACCTGCGAGTGTCACCCCCTGGAATTCTGCAGACCCCAGCACTTCAGGCCAGCCCACCTTGGTGACGAAGTCTTCCTGGGAACACAGATTGTCAGCGTAGCTCAGGACGCCTGGGTCTAGAAGCATCCCGTCTCCTTCCTGGTCCACTTCGCCCTCTTCCCATTTTGCCTTTAGCTCCCCTGTGGCCCCAATGGGAGGACCCAGCAGGTCCTCCATGATGTCCACATACTCCTGCACCACTTCAGGGGGTATCTCCTCGGGGGCCTTGGTCTCCGCTGGTTGCTGGGGCCTGGGTGGTGGCAGGCAGGCAGGCGGGGCCTTGGGGCAGGCCTTGCTGGGAAGGTACACTGAGGTAGGGAGGGAGGAGGACAGACGTGGTGAGGGCTGCTCCTCCTGCCTGCACCACACAGGGGAGGGCAGGGCTCGGGGACGTGAAGTGGGTCCCAGGACCACCTGAACCACAGCACCCCAGAGGAGACGCCGCAGGGGGGCACATGTGAGATAACATCATTTTGGAGGAAGTTTCGAGTCACTGATCTGCTGAGTACTCTGCCCACTCATCCCTGTTTCTGGGCAGATTGTTGAGTTTTGGAATGGCGAGGGGAGGGAGTAGGTAGGAAATGTGACCAGGTGAATACCCACTTCATGACCACGGGACACCCAGCCCCCCGGCTCCCCTGAGCTGTCTTGTTGGAAGGAACAAATCCCTCTCTTGAAGGGAGGCATGGGGTGTGGGGACAGTGGCCTCCCTTGGCCCCTCTGGCCTTTGCCGTGGCTCCTGTGGGAATGTGGGAAGCGTACCTGGCAGCTTCACCACCTCAGGGGCTGATGGTCTTCGAGGCTCAAGCCTCGGCAGGGCTGGAGGAGGCAGGCACTGGGGCCCCTTCATCCACTGCGACTTCTGAATCTGCATCTTCTCCTCAGCCTCAAACTCCAGAAACCTGGGGTGAAGAAGGTGCAGGCCGTGCTGAGAGGGTCTAGACCCCCTGCCCCCAGGATCAGGCAGCAGCCGATGGCAGCGATGGGAAGGAGTGCCTCGGGCAGGTTGTCCAGGCCCTCCCTGGGGCCGGTCCCCCAGTCCCAGAGGGAGCTGCTCCCAGAGTTCTGGGCTCTCCGTCCCTCACCCGGCCCCTGCAGAGCCATGGCATCAACAGGGCTTCCTGACTCAAATCAGGGCCACGAGGCCCAGGAGGGCACCAGGGGGACCCCTCCTCCAGGCTTCAGGTGGCCAGTGGTGGGGTTTATGGCAGAAGGTGTCAGGGATGTTGCCCAGATGCCGGAGTCCTGAGGTTGGGACTGTGGGTCCCTATAGGATAACTCAGGAGCACCAGGCGTGGGAGATCCCTGGTCAGGAGGAAGCAAAAGCTGGGCCCAAAAACAGGGCCCGTTTCCCCTGAGGCTGCTGGTCTGTCTTAACAGAGGGGACTGCCCAGGAGCAAAGGCAGGCAGGCCAGAGATGGGTCTCATGGTGTCCTGGACGCAGGTCTCCCCTGACCCACCACAGGTTTCTCCAATCCTGGCCAGGCCGGGATGGGTGAAAACCGACTTCTGGCCACTGCTGTGAGGAGAGTGCACCCCACTCTGTCTATAGTCGCCAGCGCCCCTTTTCCCCATCCCCACAGCTGGAGGTGACCACCTTTGGGCTGGGATGCTGGCAGTGCAGAGCTTCCCACGAGGGCAGGATAGAGACCCCAGAGCACTCTAGGAGGGAGGAACAGCTTCCTGAGGGAGCCAGCGGCCCTGGAGGGCCTCTCTTTGTCCACACCCTCCTCATGCTCTACGCTGAGAAGCCATCATGGCCACCGCGCCTCTGTCACCCTCTCTTACCCTGCCATGCGGGCTCTGCCCATGCACCCAAGACTCACTTTCCTGCCATCTCGTAGTAGATCATCCGGTCAAAGTTGCTCGTGTGCTGCCATTCCTGCATCGCGCACAACAGTCCCTCCTCCAGGGTCATGCTGGGCTTCCGCTGGGACAGGGATCTGAGAACTGGGCTGTAAGGCGGTGCAGTCAGTCCCAGTCCATAAGCCCACCCTTCATCCCAAGCCCATCTAGTCCCAACACGCGGCCCCTGTCCTCCCCATATCTGTCCTGCCATTTGTCCCTGTCCTGTTCTTCCCCACATGGACAGGACACGCCCCCAGGATCAATCATTAACACAAGTCACCGGGGGGCCTCTGACTGCCGCTCGAGTGTTATAGTGTTACAGTTTTGACAAGTGAACTCTACTCAGTGTTACAGTGTTGACAGGTGAACTCAGTAGTATGAGTGGGATGTGTGTGTCCCCAGCATTCCTGTGCTGAAGCCCTCGGCATCTGTCGGTATTTGGAGTCAGTCAGGGTTGGAGCAAATCATGAGGGTGGGTTCCCGTCATGGCATCCGAGCCCTGATAAGGGCAGGAGGAGACACCAGGGCTCTCCCTCTTAGCCACAAGAGTACACAGCCAGAGGCAGCCCTCTCCAGCCAGGACACCAATCTGCTGTCACCTTGATCTGGGACATCCAGCCTCTGGAACTGGGAGATGTGACTGTGTCCTGATAAAGCACCCAGTCTATAGGATTTGTTATGGCGGAGTTGAGCTGACTTGAGACAGCAGGCACAGAATGACTGGGGAGCGAGGGGGTTAAAGAGCAGGTTCCAGGGCCCCAGGACTGAGCATTTAACCAGCTTCTTGGGGACTCTGGAGCAAGGCAGCCCCTTGGGATGCAGCCTCAGGGTCCTGGCGAGGAGCAGAAACCAGAACCAAAGCAGAGCAGCATCCAAGCCCACTGCATGCGGAGCCTGTGAGCCTGGGCCAACTCCACTTTTGAGAATCAGGGTCTCCAGTGCACCCGGACTCAGCTACAAGGGAGAATGCAAATATAGTCCCAGGATGCAGGAGCGGCAAGATTTTTGGGGGCAAAGATGGCGTCGCCTTACACCTACACCCTGGACAGGGCACTTGCCTAGGGGAGTGGCCAGTGTGTTGCCTGGTGGATGCGCTCAAGCTCCCGTGGAGTACGGGTTTGCTCATCAGCGGGGGACACAGGGTCACAGAGGCACCGCAGGATGGAGAGAGGCAGGACTGGGATTGAAACGACAAACTCTCCCAGATGCTGGCATTGCTGCCTCAGTCACCACAGTCCACGGCCCTGGGCTGCTGGGCTCGTGGTGCACTCAGAGCCATCACTGGAGCCTGCGGCTTTGGGGAGCACTGTGCAAGATGGCCTAGTCCTGATAATGATAGTAATAGGGACAGTAATCATAAGTGCTATCATGTAATGTGCCACAGCATGTGCCGGACACTGTGCTGCGTGCATCATATGTGAGCTCAAGTCACCTCTTCACCATCCTCTGAATGAAGCATCGTCGTCCCTTTTTCTAGAAGGGTTCAAGGGAGAAGCTGCAAATACCTGCCCAGCATGGACCCTAGTTCGGGGCCCGAGACCATCCCCTGTGCAGGTTCCACCACCGCTGTGCCAGCTGGACCTTGGCAGAGCAATGGGCATGTGCCAGGTTCCTGCAGCTCCCACCCCCAGCCCATGTGCTGTGCCCCTGGCCTTCGCCACTGAGGTCAAGGGGAGGCACTGGGGTGCACTCAAGTCCTAAACCCAACCTGTGGTTCCTGTCAGACCAGGAACCCTCTCTGACCTGGGTCTTCTGTAAACATTGTCATGAAAATGATTGAAAGTAAGGATTGGCTGCACTCACGGGACAGTGAGGGGGCAAGTGACATAAGGCCCCTGAGAGTCTGTCCTAAGCGATAGCCAGATTAATGTTGCTGAAAATGTGCCTTTCCATAGTTCAACCCATTGCTTTCAAGACCGCTCTGCATGGTCCTCTCAACAGCGTGACCTCCCGTCCATCGAGCAGCCTCTTTATGGGTGAGCTGCAGGACTAGCTCCGGTGCTCCGAGGACACTCACATGAAGAAGCAGGAAAGCGCTTCCATGTCCGGGCTCTGGGGAAGGTGCCTCTGAGCCAAGGGCTTGTAGTGCTGCCAGAGTCGGAAGTTCTCATACACGGTCTTGGGGTTGCAGGAGTCGTGTGCGGGATTCTTGGCCTGGGAGGGAGCCAGGTTGCCCTCTCTATGAGCCCCTTGTGGCCATGGACAAGCATTTCTTGGGGCCATGATGAGGGCTGGCTGGGGAGCCGCTGGTGGTGCTGGAGGAGGAAGGCCCTGGGACCAGCCTCCCTTACAGGCCTGGGTGCCCCCAACGACCTGGGCAGCCATAGCGGGCACCACAGGGGCAGCTGCCAGGGGCCGGGGAGGTGGACATGCCACGCCCTCACAGACGGCACCTGGAGCCTGCCAGACGAGGGGTACCTGAGTTAGGACCAAGGTCTGTGCCTGAGGGGCCTTCACAGGCCCCACTTCTGTCCTCATCTGGACAAGGATGTTGGAAGCCCCAACCCAATTTGGGCCTCGGCCATCCTGTCCTGCCACCAGAGGGGTCCTGGGGAAGGCAGACAGCACCGGAGGGCCACCTGGAGGAACCACTGCAGTCCTGAGGGGCGGCCCGTGTGCTGGGCCGGGAGCAGGTGTGGCAAAGGGCAGAGCCGTGAACACTGGCATGGAGGCGCCAGCGTTCTCGGTCACGTCTGGTCCCAGCACTGGGTATGCTGTGGAGGGAAAGGAAAGAGGTGAATGAGCTGAGGTCTCCAGGTCTGCAGTAGTCACTGGGAATCAGAGGGGTGTCCTACAGCTGACGGAGTGTGACAGGGAAACTCTGCAGCTTGCAAGTGTCCCTGAGTGTGCATTGGATGCTCTGTTCCTGCACGGGAGGGTCGCTTCACCATAGAGCCTGGCCACGGCTCCACTAGACTCCCTGACGCCTGTCTGCCAGGAAGCAACAGCCAAGCCTTCGCTGCCTCTGAGGTTCTCCCTTGGGCGTCCCTGGCAGACCCTGCCAGCCTTACAGGCATCTCCCAAGCCATGGGTCAGGGATGAGTCTCTCGCCGGCTTGGTGTCCCTCAGCATGCTCAGCAGCAGGTGAGGGGCCTCCCCCAGGGCAGTGCTCTGCACTCAGAAGGCCTCCAGGAAGCCAGAAGGTTCCTAATATTATGGTCCCATCTCCTCTTCAGTCTTCCTTTTCCTTAAGCTCTCGTACACCCCTTTCTTTCCTAGCTCAGCACAACAAAAGAAAACCACTGAATAGACTGGGCGTGGTGGTTCACGCCTGTAATGCCAGCACTTTGGGAGGCCTAGGCGGGCAGGTAACCTGAGGTCAGGAGTTCAAGACCAGCTTGGTCAACGTGCTGAAAGCATGTCTCTACTAAAATACATAGGCTGAATGTGGTGGCGCACACCTGTAATCCCAGCTACTCAGGAGGCTGAGGCAGGAGAATTGCTTGAACCCAAGAGGCAGAGACAGCAGTGAGCCAAGATTGCACCACTGCGTTCTAGTCCAGGTGACAGAGCAAGAGTCTGTTATAAAAAAAAAGAGAGAAAGAAAGAAAGATGGAAAACCACTGAATGGAAATCTCTCTCAAGGCAGTGCCCTGTGAACCCTGAAGGTAACCTATAATGCATCACGCCGAGCGTGCAATTGATTGTTGTGGCACCACGTACAGCAAGTGCTAAACAGGGGTCAGAGTCAGGCCACTCTTTCCTCCGTGCTCGGTGGTCCTGGCTGCCACTCAGGAAGCTCTGTTCCCAGGGAGCAGGTCTGAGAAGCAGTGGTGAAGTTCCCTGAGGTACTGTCATTGCTCAGCCAGCAACAGCGGCACACGATTAGAGCACAGCCAGCCAGCAGTGAGCACTGGGGCTGTCAGGGGAGGTGTCCGGGGATTTTCACAGCTGCTGGTCATGTTACAGTAGGTCGTGGGACAGCGAGCCCATCTCTGGTCCTTTTCCTTTGAGCTCCCAGTAACTGAATATAGGGACCAACTAAGAACCAGAGGTTCTTGGGCCACGGGCCAGGTGGGACATAGTTGTCTGGACTCATCCCTGTTCACTAGGACCTCATGCAGTCTCCAGTCAAGGGGAATAGGGATATAGCACGTGCACCTCATCAGTCAGGACACACACCCTAACTTGAATAATAATAATAAGAGGACCATCTTCCTATTTGTGCGCTACTCTCCTTCCTCTACTGAAAAGGAAACCATCTTTCCAGACCCTTCCACTGAGAACCCACAAGAGTCGACACCTGTCCCCTGTTCATGAGGCAGTAGACATGGAATAGAAGCAAATCCTTCATCTCCACAGTAACACAAAGTGCAGAGGACAGGCCATGAGCTAGTAGACAAGAGGAAGTGGGTCTGAAGACCTGAGTTTCCACAAAACGACGAACAATTCAGAACAACCTGGGAAGCCCAGGCCATGTTGCCTGAACTTCCCCAACTGCCCCACCCCTGTTAAATCAGAGCCAACAGCTACCTGAATTGACGGAGAAGCCACCTCTAGGGAGGGAGCTGAGAGGCTGCGGCAGTTACGGTACCCCCAGCCTCGCCCACCAGAGGCTGTCACTGCATGCTCTGTCACAGACAACCCACCAAACAGTTTTCTGGCTGAGACCACTTCTCCCCACTCCTCCCTAACATCTAAAAAAGTCCAGTCCAAATCCCTCTGAACACTATGGAAGGACACCTTCCAGGAGCCTGAAGACACAAAACAGGGCTCAGACTTGTCTGTCATCCTCCTTCGGCCACCGGCACAACTCGATCCCACCACTCCCTACAAACACGGTGACGTGACCCGTCCCCCTTTAGAAAGAATCAATACATCCACTCCATCCCTTCCCCTACACGGTGTATTCCCCAGGCACCTTGGTCCAACTCTAAGGAGCCGTCGTCCTCCCTAACTACAGACTCAGGGTGCCATGGCCCTCCCCAGGTGTGATGTCTTTGGGGACATCTAGTGCTCTGTCCCTCCCTCAACGTCAGCCCTACCAACTGTCTCCTGGGGCAGTGTGAAATTTGAATTCCCAAGGATTTGAAACATGGCAGAGACTTGGATAATGCCCCTGTCTCTAAAGGCTCACCTCCATTTGAAGCCATCCCCTCAGGCTGGCTGCTGATCACCACTGTCTGACAGTTTCCACAATGAGAAGAGTCAAGGGCAGGACCCAGAGAGTGACCTGCCTCAACAGATTCTCCTGAGTTCAGGTGGATCAGGGGAAATTTGAAAGTAAATAGGTTTAGAACATAGGACCCCAGACATTCTGCAGAGGGGGAGGGGCGCTGCAGCAGGTACTGGTAGGGGTGGGGGACATTCTGTGAAGGGCTCCAGCCAATCGGCAAGAACTGAGGTTCCCTTCCAGCTGGTTGGCAGAAACAGACGGTGTGGGCCTCTACAGGCAACTTTTAAATTGTCCTTCTGACTCACAGCACAAAGCTTCAACCTGATGTCCTCTTTACTTCCATTCTTTGTCAACAGACCTACTTTTGTGCCCCTCAACTCATGCTCCTTCCCACTTGGGCTCTTTCCCACTCTTGATGAATTTCAACAGGGGCTGTGCTTCCTAAACACAATTTAGGACACTTCCTAAGAAGCCTTGTGTTTGTCACACGATTCACGTCTGGATCCGCCACCTGGTTCAGATGATCCAGGCTGTTAGGTGGCTGTGTGCTCATCATTGTTATGGAAGCAGTCCTTGTGTCCCCAGGTTGTGTATGTTTCTGGAATCTGTCCACACCAGCAGGCCAGCCTTACTTCCCACCTCCTTTGCTGGAAAGCCTCAGTCCAGGAAAGAGTAGCTATAAGGCTAGAAAGCCTTTCATTTTGTTTCCCAGCGTATTGTGCCACTGATGTCAAAGCAGATCCTGGTCCAATTAGAGGACAGATTTGAGAGGAGGAAGTACTTAGGGAAGAAAAAAAAAAACAGTTGCCTGCCAAATCATTACACGCGGATAGCATGAAAGCAATTAGTTCTTGCCTAATTGCAATATTGATATGCTGAGCATTCATGTTCTTTTCACATTCCAGCTCTGATTGCCGAGATACTTACATTACTCTGGTATTCACCACAGTTGCACATAGCACCTGAGAAACATTTTGTAATACTGAACGTTGTGAGCTATTCTTACATTTGTATGTATGTAGGGCTAGATGGAACAAGCATCCATACTGTCAGTAGAGCATAAGTTACATGCAAGTTTTCATTATAATAACATGAGTGGGCCAGGCGCAGTGGCTATTGCCTGTAATCACAGCACTTTGGGAGGCCGGGGCAGACAGTTCACGAGGTCAGGAGTTTGAGACCAGCCTGGCCTACATAGTGAAACCCCATCTCTACTAAACATACAAAAATTAACTGGGCATGGTGGTGCACGCCTATAATCTCAACTACTCGGGAGGCTGAGGCAGAATTGCTTCAACCTGGGAGGTGGAGGTTGCAGTGAGCCGAGATCGTGCCCCTGCACTCCAGCCTGGGGAACAGAGTGAGATTGTGTATCAGAAAAAAGTAAAATAACAAGTGAAGGTCAAAAAACAATTAATGCAATGTATACACCTTTATTATTCATCCCCAAATCACCAGGTTATCATCAGGGCATCCAGACACGTTCAACTTAGTCACACTCAATTATCTTGCCATTTTGCCATTTTTTTGTTTGTTTTTAGGTGAGGTCTCACTGTGTTGCCCAGGCTGGCGTCAAACTCTTGAGCCAAGCAGTCCTTCTGCTCAGCCTTCTGGGTAGCTGAGATTATAGGCGCACACCATGGCACTGGCTCCATATTTTTCCCTGGGAGAAACAGATCTTAAAACCAATTTTGCCGGGTGCGGTGGCTCACGCCTGTAATCCCAGCACTTTGGGAGGCCGAGGCGGGTGGATCACAAGGTCAAGAGATCGAGACCATCCTGGTCAACATGGTGAAACCCCGTCTCTACCAAAAATACAAAAAATTAGCTGGGCATGGTGGTGCTTGCCTGTAATCCCAGCTACTCAGGAGGCTGAGGCGGGAGAATTGCCTGAACCCAGGAGGCGGAGGTTGCGGTGAGCCGAGATCGCGCCATTGCACTCCAGCCTGGGTAACAAGAGCGAAACTCCGTCTCAAAAAAAAAAAAAAAAAAAACCAATTTTAAAAGTTTAATGTTCTGTAATCCCAGCACTTTAGGAAGCTGAGGTGGGCAGATCACCTGGGGTCATGAGTTCAAGACCAGTCTGGCCAACATGGTGAAACCCTGTCTCTACTAAAAAGTTAGAAAAATTAGCCAGGTGTGGTGGCACACGCTTGTAATCCTGCTACTTGGCAGGCTGAAGCAGGAGAATTGCTTGATCCCGGGAGGTGGAGGTTGCAGCAAGCCACGATTGCATTGCCAGTCTGGGCAACAAAGCAAGACTCCGTCCCCAACCCCAACAACAAAAAAAAAACGTTCAGTGTTTTAGATGGGTGCATTTGTCAAGCTAGGAATGTAGAGCATGTTTTATCTGACAGTTTGTTAATTTGTTTTGCAACTTAAATACACCCGGAGATAGGATATTTGGGCCGTCTTTTGTATTCTTAGTCTGGGCCCTGCAAGTGTTAGGAGAAGGTCTGAACAACTTTGATGATTTGATGTTATTTGAAAACTTTTTTGAAATGGAGCCTCAATCTGTCGGCTAGACTGGAGTGCAATGGCGTAGCCTTGGCTCGCTGCAACCTCTGCCTCCCAGGTTTAAGTGGTTCTCCTGCCTCAGCCTCCCAAGTAACTGGGTCACAGGAATATACCACCAGACCTGGATAATTTTTGTATTTTTAGTAGAGATGGGATTTCACCTTGTTAGCCAGGCTGGTCTTGAACTTCTGGTCTCATGTGATTTGCCCATAGTGTACCAAAGTACTGGGATTTACAGGCGTGAGCCATGCCCAGCCACAGTTTGATTTTAAATACCAATAACCTTGATATTTTTGCAGACTTACTCGTTTATTAATTTTCTCTCTGGGATTTGAAACTTTTTTGTTTTTTTTAAGAACAACTCAACAAAATAAAATTCCTTTTTATTGTTGGACAAGTGTTTCACACATACATCAAGCGGGCCAAAAAAAATAGAGAGAAAAAAAAAGAAAAAAACCCACTGCAATTTCATAGATAACAAGGGAAAAAAAGAAACCTTTTGAATTTGGCCTTTTTTTTTTTTTTTCTTAAGGTAGAATTTCATCCTTGTTGCCCAGGCTGGAGTGCAATGGTGGGATCTCGCCTCATTGCAACCTCCACCTCCTGGGTTCAAGTGATTTTCCTGCCTCAGCTGTCCAAGTAGCTGGGATTACAGGCATGCACCACCACACCTGGCTAATTTTTTGTATTTTTAGTAGAGACGGTGTTTCTCCATGTTGGTCAAAGTGATCTCAAACTTGTGTCCTCGTGTGATCTGCCTGCCTCAGCCTCCCAAAGTGCTGAGATTACAGGTATGAGCCACCGGGCCCAGCTGGCCTTTTAAACCATCTCATGCAAACCAACTGCTTATAGTACAGCTAAGTACATACACGGAAAAGTTACTGGAATGCTCAGATAAGATTGTTTTTCTGTTGTTGTTTTTGCTTTTTTTTTAACAACGTATTTTTTCTCCTTTGAGATTGTAATGGACATGATCATACCACAAGTAAAATCAGAAGTAGGACAGAGAACACTCTGAAGGCTGGTTTGGTCATTGGAGATCATTAAAAATGGCTGACTCTAACAATATGTACAAAAATATAAAATGTACATTAAAATACAAACAAATTCCTTTTTAAAGTACTTTTTTTTTTTTTTTTTTTTTTTGAGACGGAGTTTCGCTCTTGTTACCCAGGCTGGAGTGCAATGGCGCGATCTCGGCTCACCGCAACCTCCGCCTCCTGAGTTCAGGCAATTCTCCTGCCTCAGCCTCCTGAGTAGCTGGGACTACAGACACGCGCCACCATCCCCAGCTAATTTTTTTGTATTTTTTTAGTAGAGACGGGGTTTCACCATGTTGACCAGGATGGTCTCGATCTCTTGACCTTGTGATCCACCCGCCTCGGCCTCCCAAAGTGCTGGGATTACAGGCTTGAGCCACCGCGCCCGGCCTAAAGTACTTTTAAGAAAAAGCAGGGCCTTGGAAGTTTTGGCTGTTTTCCTCCCCTGCTGCAAATTCTCACGGTTTGGGTTTGGTGGTGGAGCGCATGTGTCATCTGCAGGTGGCCCTGCCTGTGGTGGGCGGGCAGGCGGGCCTCTCTACTCAAAGGTGGTGACCACGTTTGGATTCTGAGATGGGAAGTGCAAGGGGAATAGGGTCACGGCGGTCTTTTTTTTTTTTTTTTTTTTTTTTTTTTTTTTTTTTTTTTTTTTTTTAGCTTTTCCTTTATTGCTATCTAGTCATCCTCATCGGTCTTCTGCTTGGTATCGACATCGTCATCCTCGGCATCTTCTACTGTCCGCTTGCCCATAGCCGACTCAGCTTCCTCATCTTTATCTCCATCCTCCTCCTCACCATCACCTTCTTCCTCCTCTTCCTCCCCACCTTCCTCCTCCTCTTCATTGTGTCAGTGTTAGCCTTCTGCTCCCCATTTTCCTCATTCCCGTTAGCAGGGGCATCTCTTCCGTTTTCTGCATCTTCCACATCTTCCTTCTCCTTTAACTCGGTGTGATTTCGGAGCTCGTGTCTCTGGCTGCGTCTGACATGGTGGAGCACGCTGGTGATCCGATGCAGGGGATTAAAAAGAAAGCGAGAGTTCAGGGACTCTGGTGATAAAGCTGCCAGAGTCCTCAGCGGAAGAGTCGAGGCACGCAGTGGAGGCGGCTGCGGTGAGCAAGGAGCTGGGCGAGGAACAATGCAAAGATGGCTTCAGAGCAGCCAGTCTGGATCTCAAACTGTTAAGGCCTAAAATCATTAGCGCTGCTTTCTCCCTCTAAGCCATATGTGGCTTTTCACTTTATTTTCAACTGAATGCTTTCACTGTTTTGAGTTTAGCAAGCTTTTTGGTCTTAAAAATATTCAACAGTGCAGTTAAGAGGCCAAATGACTTTAAGTATGAGACATTGTAAGATGAGGAATTTTCGCATAGAAAGGTGACCAGATTGGAGGAAATTAGTCCGTATAAACATTCCTCTGGATTTATACGGTACAGATTTTACTCTCAGGCTTTCTTAAAGTTTCTAACAGAGCTGCTAAGGAGAAGGAAGAGTGTAACATCTGTTGCAAAATTCCAGTTACATGTAGGACAGATAGGAATCTGGGAGAGAGGTGACTTGCCCAAATGACACACTGATTTGGGATCTATAAGGTGGAACCATTAATTCTTATGCATAAGGCTTGATTCAGAATTGCTTTTTATTTTAATGGAAGTTCTGTAGAAAGAAACGAATATGTGGAAAAATTTAGCTACTTGTAAATGCTTGGAAAATGAGGAAAGAGAATAGTTTAAAACCTTACCACCCCTATTCTCCTCCTCCTCCTCCTCCTCATCAGAATCACAGTCAGTCAAAGGTAGCACTTTATTAATGTTAACAAAGTTAGTATGAAAACACAAATTATAGGGGAGTTGCCACACCCAGTGTATACAATTTCCAAGTCACACCTCTCTGCTTCACATTTATTTCTCTGTTTCACTTTAATATGGTTATAAGACCACCAGGTTGGATTGCCTGTTGCACCAAAGGAGATGAATAATTGTAGGGCAACTGAACGAAAAGATGAGAGGAAACCTCAAATCTGCCTCCCTGGGAGGTTTGGGGATGGGGATTCTAAGGGGTCTGAACAGGTGATGGGCTAAGGTATGAGGACTGCTGATTGGTTGAGAAGTGGGGGGTGAAGTCATTGGACCAGGAGATGCTGAGTCAGTTTCCTGGTATGGACCTTCAGACCTGTTGGCATCAGGGATTCTGCCGGAATTCAGGATCCGTAAAACACCTTAAACAATTCTTGGGTAAAAAGGTCCAGTGTCGGTTTCTATCAATGGGAGCAATGGAGGAGCAGGTGGTCAGTGTGCTGTGAGCCCCTCGGTTAGTTAGCAGCTGCAGGGAAGTGAGTCAGGGCACACCAGTGCACCCTGGTTGATGCCTGACTACAATTCTGCCTAAAGCCTGGCTTGTAGTTCTCATTAACCCTGTGAGAGGTTTTTTTTCTCTTGGGCTTTTGCCCCATTCTAAGCAACACTTCTATGGATATTTTTGACTGCATATTTCTTGTAGCACATACTGGCAAATATTCTGTGTGCTCAAATTAATTTTTTCCAAGACTGTTTCTCATTTTAATATCCCAGAGCTTCTCTTGTATTTTAAGCTGCAGTGGGTAAAGGAAGTTATATCTTCATTCCTTTGTCGGAAATTAATTGAGTGCCCGGCAGTCAAATGGTGTAATTCCAGCACTTTGGGAGGCTCAAGCAGGATAGCTTCGGCCCAGGAGTTAAAGACCAGCCCGGACAGGAGGATCACTTGAGCCCAGGAGTTGGAGGCTGCAGTGAGCCGTGATGACACCACTGCACTCCACATGCGCAACCCAGCAGTACCCTGTCTCAAAAAAAATGTCTTGAGTGCTTACTCCGTGGGAGTCAGCCACTGGGTGGGGCCCTGGAAAACAGAGGAATATAATATGGCCCCATCTTTCTCAGCATAAAACTTATCAGACTGTGTCCATTGTGTTTATTTAACAATATATTTACAATACTAGTGGTTCTTTTTTTTTTTTTTAAAGGCATACAAATTTATTAATGTACAGGGCTGGGGGCCACAGAATGATTACTCCAACCCCTCGGTGTGGTACAGAAGCTTATATATCCTTTCTCAGAGGCAAAAGAGGAGATGGGTAACGTATACAATTATTTGAGGAACAGTGAATGATTATAAGCAAGAAGGAATGAACCAGGGAGACAGAAATTAACTTGTAAATGATTCTCTTTGAAATCTGAATGAGACCAAGAAGCCAGCTTTATCTTGTGGAAAAGTCCATTCAGGTGTGGTTGCATTCCTCAGTCGTCTTTTCTGCAGTAGATAATGAGGTAACAGAAAGCATTTGTGCTTTTTTTTTTGGTAAGAAGTTTTCTTGATCAGATCAGGAAATTCCAGAAAAGGTCCCTCCTTGGCAAGTTTACTTACGGCCTTGGTGCCCTCCGACACGGCTTGCTTGGCCAGTTCCCCAGCCAGCAGCAGGAGCACGGCCGTCTGGATCTCCTTGGAGGTGATGGTCAAGCGCTTGTTGCAATGCACCAGGCGGGAAGCCTCGCCCACGATGCGCTCAAAGATGTCGTTGACGGAGGAGTTCATGATGCCCATGGCCTTCTAGGAGATGCTGGTGTCGGGGTGCACCTGCTTGAGCACCTTGTACACGTACATGGAGTAGCTCTCCTTGCGGCTGCGCTTGCGCTTCTTGCCGTCCTTCTTCTGTGCCTTGGTCACCACCTTCTTGGAGCCCTTCTTTGGGGCGGGAGCGGACTTCGCTGTCTCAGGCATGTCGAAAGCGAACCAAGGTACAAAACGATCAGCAGCTAGTTCCAGGAAACGGGAAATAATCACTAGTGGTTCTTTTTATAGCTATGCATCTTACCTCAACCTTTCCCCCAAATAAAAAATAAGCAATGTTCAATTTATTTATTTATTTTTTGAGACAGAGTCTGGCTCTGCCGCCACACTGGAGTGCAGTGGCGCAATCTTGGCTCACTGCAACCTCCACTCCCAGGTACAAGCGATTCTCCTGCCTCAGCCTCCTGAGTAGCTGACATTGCCACCATGTCCGGCTAATTTTTTGTGTTTTAGTAGAGACGGGATTTCACCATGGTGGCCAGAATTGTCTTGATCTCCTGACTTCATGATCTGCCCGCCTCGGACTCCCAGTGTGTTGGGATTATAGGCATGAGCCATAGTTCCTGGCCAGTAATGTTCAGTTTTAAGACACTATCAGGTCCGGGTGCAGTGGCTCATGCCTCTAATCCCCGCACTTTGGGAGGCTGTGGCAGGCAGATCACCTGAGGTCAGGAGTTTGAGACCAGCCTGGCCAGTATAGTGAAACGCCATTTCTACCAAAAAAACAAAAATCAGCCAGGCATGGTGGCAGGCTCCTGTAATCTCAGCTAGTGGAGAGGTTGAGACAGGAGAATCGCTTGAATCTGGGAGGTGGTGGTTGCTGGTAGCTGAGATCATGCCATTGCACTCGAGCCTGGGTGACAAGATTGAAACTCTATTTCAAAAACAAACAAACAAAAAAACGCACTAGGCAGTGTGGTATTGGAGAAGATTTAGACATGTAGATCAATGGAACAGAATGGAACCCAGACTTAGATCCTCACAAAAATACGGCCAATTGATTGTTTTAAATTGTGGTAAAATACACGTAACATAAATTTATCATTGCCACCATTTTTAGGTACACAGTTCAGTGTGGTTAAATATATTTATATGTTGTGCAACTAATTTGCAGAACTTTCTCATCTTGCAAAACAAACTCCATTTCCGTTAAACAACCACTCCCCCTTTCTCCTTTCCTCAGCTCCTGGCAGCCCCCATTCTACTTTCTCTTTCTATAAGCTTGACTATTTTAGGTACCTCATATAAGTAATCATGTAGTCTTTATGACCAGCTTATTTCACTTAATGTAATGTCCTCAAGGTTCATCCATGTTGTAGCATATGTCAGAATTTCTTTTTAACACTGAATAATATTCTCTTGGATGTGTATACTGCATTTTGTTTATCCATTCATTCATGGATGGACACTTGGGTTCCTTCTACCTTTTGGGTGTTGTGAATAATGCTGCTATGAACATGTGTATTCAAATATCTGTTCAACTCCCTGCTTTCAATTCTTTTTGGTATTATTGTACTGTGAAATATATATTTGGTCTTTGTTCCAATTTCCTGGCATACAACTCCTAAGATCCTTGGAATCTCCAAAGTGATGTCTTTTTTTATGTTAATAAATTGATAGATGGCTGGCAGCTCCTAGGTAGCTTCAGGAAAGGGGCCGGTCACCAGAAGTGATTAGAAGGTTGGGACTTTTGGCCATAGCCCCATCCTTTAGGGAGGAAAAGGGGGCTAAAGGTTAAAGTTAATCACCAGTGGTCAATTGTTCAATCAATTATGCCGACCTCAGAAAGCTTCTCTAAAAACTGCAAAGGACAGGGTGTGGGCAGTTTCTAAATAGTGGACTCATGAAAGTTCCAGAGGGTGGCATGCCCGGGAGGTTATGAAACCCCCACGTCCCTTTTCGTCTTTTACCCTAGGCATCTCTTCATCAATATCTGTTGTAATATTATTTACCATAAACTGGTAAATGTAAGTTAAGTGTCTTCCTGAGTTCTGTGAGCCTTTCTAGCAAATTAATCGAACTAGAGGTGGGGATCCCTGGTCTCCTAAGGCTTGCAATTGGCATAGGATGTGGGGGGCAGTTTTGCGGACTGAGCCCTTGACCTGTGGGATCTGATGCTATCTGCAGGTAGATAGTGTCAGAATAGAATTGAATTAGAGGACACCCAGTTGGTGTCCCATGTTGCAGAGTTGGTTACATACTTGGTGTGTGGGGAGAATGCCACACATAGCCTGTGTCTGAAGTACTCTGTGCTGGGAGAGTATAGTAGGATACATCAAGTTTGGTTATTAGTAGTAGTATCTATTATTTAGTATATATTATTATTAATGTATACCCAGAAGTAGAATTGCTAGATCATAGTGTAATTCCATCGTTAATTTTTTGAGGAGCCACCATACTGTTCACCTTAGTGGCTACACCATTTTACATTCTCATGACCATGTGCTCAAGAGTTTCAGTTTCTCCATATTCTCACCAATGTTACTAGAAAGGAGTCCTGACCCAGACCCCAAGGGAGGGTTCTTGGACTCCTCCCAGGAAAGAATTTGAGCAAGTCCATAAAGTGAAAGCAAGTTTATTAAGAAAGTAAAGGAATAAAGAGTGGCTACTCCACAGGCAGAGCAGTGGCATGGGTTGCTTGACTAAGGGTACTTAGAGTTATTTCTTGATGATATGCTAAACAAGGGGTGGAAGATTCATGAGTTTTCCGGTCAAGGGGTGGGCAAGTCCCAGAACTGAGGGTTCCTCCCCTTTTTAGAGGATACAGGGTAACTTCTTGACATTGCCACGGCATTTGTAAATGGTCACGGTGCTGGTGGAAGCATCTCTTAGGATGCTAATGCATTATAGTTAGTGTATAATGAGCAGTGAGGACCACCAGAGGTCACTGTCGTCGCCATCTTGGTTTTGCTGGGCTTTGGCCGGCTAAACTGCAACCTGTTTTATCAGGAAGCTCTTTGTGACCTGCATCGTGTGCCAACCTCCTATGTTACCCTGTGACTTAGAATGCCTAACCTCCTGGGAATGCAGCCCAGCAGGTCTCAGCCTTATTTTGCCCAGCTCCTGTTCAAGATGGAGTTGCTCTGGCTCAAATGCCTGTGACACCAACACTCATTATTTTCTGTTTTTTGTTTTCTGATGGATATGAGGTGATGACCAGTTGATTTTTGATGAAGGTGAAAAAGTAATTCAAAGGAGAAAGGACAGTGTTTCCAAAACCAGTGTTGGAACTATTAGTCATCCTGAAAAAAAAAAATGAACCTTGACCTAAATCTCACCTTAAACACAGACTAACTAAAATTGATTATATATGTAAATGTAAAAATTCAAAACCCCTGCTCTGCAAAATACACTGTTAAGAGAATAAAAATACACACCACAGACTTGGAAAAATGTTGAGAAATCACTTATCTGACAAAGACTAGTATTCAGTGTATATAAAGACCTCTCAAAACTCAACAGAACAAAAACAGAGTTTAGTAAAAAATGGGTAAAAGAGTTGAGCAGATACTTCATCAAAGAAGTTATATGGATGGAAAATAAGCACAAGAAAATATTTTCAACCTAATTAGCCATCAGGAAGCGCAAATTAAAACCATAGTAAGGCTGGGGGCAGTGGCTCATGCCTGTAATTCGAGCACTTTGGGAAGCCAAGGCTGGAGGATTGCTTGAGCTCAGGAGTTCCAGACCAGCCTGGACAACATAGTGAGATCCTGTCTCTACGGAAAATAAAAACATGTCTGGGTATGGTGGCACACTCCTGTAGCCTCAGCTACTCGGGAGGCTGAAGCCAGAGGGTTACTTGAGCCCTGGAGATTGAAGTTGCAGTGAGCTATGATAGTACCACTGCACCCCTGCCTGGGCGACAGAGTGAGACCTTGCCTCCAACAAATCAAAACAAAAAACCATTGTGAGACACCATAACAGTAGCTACAATAGAAAAACTGACATGTCCAAGTGATGTCAAGAATGTAGAGTAACCGGAACTTGCACACCTTGCTGGTGGGAATGCAGAATGATGCAGTCACTCTGGAAGAACGTTTGGCAGCCTTTTATGAAGTTAAACATGTGCTTACTGTATCACCCACCAGTCCCAGTCCTAGGTATTTACCTTAGCAAATGAAAAGTTGTGGTCACATGAAAACT